GGTGTCCGGGAAGCCTGGAGCACACACTCCGTGGCGGTTCATCCGGGAGGAAGTACTCTGGTGTTCGGCGGCTGGAAATAGTCGGCAACGGGGAGCACGCAGGTGGCGGGCGACCTGAACCGTCAGGCAAAAGCCGTCGAGCACTGGGGCTCTTTCGGAAAGGATGGCCGTTGATTGTGCCAGGTTACTGATCATCGGGTGGGGGAGGGGAACAAAAAAGCGTCCTCTTTTTTCTCCCTCGTGGACGCCACCTTGCCGTGGTGGGGGAGCTTGCGTGTCCCTATGATGTACAGAGCTGTGCCGGGGGGGCTTCGGCCCCTGGCAGGTTCTACCATGCCGGAGTGGTCTGTACGGAAGAGCCAGACTTAGAGCGTCCATAATACTCCTGGATGGGCAGCTGCCTCCAAATTTTATCCAGAGTCTGGAGGGTCTCATTCGTGGGGCCCAAAGGACCCTACAGTGCGGGCAGAGCGGGCTCGTTAGCCTGGTGAAGGCAACCGGTCTAGGGGAAGGAAAACCCTGAAATTAAACCCGCGTGTGTAAGGGCACGTAAAACCCCCACAATTTATGGTGAAATGGCAAAAAGGGAGAATCAACCCCCGGTACTCGGAGCCGGGGAACGGCGGGAGTGAGCCTATGGTCCTGGCACCCCCCCCCGTCGTCATCATACAACGGGCCAGGTGGGCGCGCCGCCCGAATTGGTTACCGCCCGAAGGGAAGCGCTTCAGGACCGGCTTAGGCCGAGTGTGGGTCGAATGGACCCACCCTCGACCTTCGCCGGCCCGAAGTGCACGAAAAAAAGGAGGCGCAAGGCGGAGGAGTCTGCCTCGCAGCTGTGGCAGGACGGAGGGTGCACTTCCCTCTTCCCGGAGGCGTTAGTTCCCATCGGGAGGGGGGGAGTGCAGCTCCCTGTACGCGTGCGGGTGGGGACGAAATGTCCGCCACGCAAACGTGGGAGAAACTCTTCCCGGGGGAGGAGTTCCCCGGTCGAGGGTGAAGAGCCCTCGGCTGGAGGGGCTCCTCTCCGAAACGCGCGGGAGGGGGTAGTTTCGGGTGGACATCAGGGGCGCAACCAGTGGGGTCTTCCGCCTGTGCGGAGACCCGCATTGGAGGCGGATAGGGGTCGCGATCTAACCGAGGAGGCCTTATGTAGTGTCGACTACATGAGGATTCTTCGGATAGATCCATCGAAGAGGGCAGCAAGGGGGTATGGTAAACCCCTTGAGGCCCTCAATGAAGACTTCAGAGGGAGCCTCCTCTATATAGAGGAGGCTCTTTCTGATTATAAAAAGTTCGTGGAGGAGGGTGGTCCTGATGGACGACTTGGGGCTCTGGAAGTTCAGGTCCGGGGCCTCAAATCCGAAATCGCCCGCATTGGGCGGCTGCTGGAGAAGCTTTTGCCTTCTCCAGCAGCAACAGCTGTGGGCAGCGGGGCCGCCCACCTCCAACCACCTAGGCGACAGCCGGCTGTCGCTGGAGAGGGAAGGAAGGACGAGTGGACGGTTGTATCCACTCACAAGGGGAAAGGGGGGAGGGTAAAATCGAACCCCGCAAGTCAATGGGAGGGGATGTCGCAAAGAAAGCGACACTTCCTCCCAAGGTAGGTAAGGTAGCGGAGAAGGGGGCCCCAAGGTAGGGGCCCCCTCCTTCGCAAAATAAACCACAGCTGAGGAACCCCCCGCGCAACCCTGTTGTAACGGTGACAGCGTTGCCGGGGGGTTCCTCCATTAAGGAGGTTATGGCGAAAGCTAGGCTCCGGGTCGATCTACAGGAGATCGGCCTAGTGCCTGGCGCTTTTAAGGTGAAACGCGCCAGGAACGGAGGAGTAATCCTGGAGGTCCCTGGTCAGGGCGGTCGGGATAAAGCCGACCAGGCGGTAGGAGCGACCATATTGGCGCCCCGTACAAGGCGATCGACAGTACCGCACTGACGTACAGGCGGCGAGCTCTCCAACCTGGACTTCCCAGGTTGCGCAGGAGGCTGGTGACAGCCAGCCCAGCCCCGCGTACCCTGGGGGCCAGTTCCCTAAAGTGCGGGCCAAACTCCCACCGGCTGTCCAACGTCAGGTCGAGATACTTGATAGTCGGCCCGACACGGATGTGGACACCATCGACCAGGGCCCGGGTCTCCGGCGGCGCCCCTCGACAGCCGTCGTGAAAAAACACGGCTTCAGTCTTCTGGGGAGCCACTTTGAGACCCAGGTCCACGATGGTTCTCACCACCGATGCCACCGCCGTTTCCGCGTGGAGGCGGGCTTCTCCCCATCTTCCTCCGGCCGCCACTAAGGTGTCGTCCGCATAGCAGACGACGTGGCAGCCCGGGGGGAGCGGAGTGCGTAGCACCCGGTCGAATGCGATGTTCCATAGCAAGGGGCCGAGAACCGACCCCTGCGGAACACCGCGTTTCATCGCGCGTCGGCCTTGGACCCCGCCCTCCTTCGGGAAGGCGAGGTCCCTGTCCTCGAAGTACGCCGGCAATATGCGCCGGAGATAGACGGGCACCCCGTGGTGCTCGAGGGCCCGTCCAATCTCTGGCCAAGGCAGGATGTTGAAGGCGTTTTTGATGTCTAGCGACACCGCCAGCAACACCCCGTCCTCCCTCTCCACGACCGTCCTAGTCAGGTCCCGGAGGTACTGGATTCCATCCAGTGTAGACCTTCCGGGCCTGAATCCGTATTGACGATCGTGGAGATTCGGTCCCTCCGAGGACAGGTGCTGGACGAGGCGGTGAGCAATGATGCGTTCAAGCATCTTGCCTGCCTCATCCAGCAGGCACATCGGCCTGTAGGCCGACGCGCTCCCGGGTGGCTTACCCTCCTTGGGGAGGAGGACCAGTTTGGCCCTCCTACATGCCGGGGGGAATATCCCCTCCTTGAGGCACCCGCTCATTACCCCACGTAAGGCCGCGGATAGGTTTTCTTCGCCGAGGGCGAGAGTCCAGGCTCGTTCAAGGATTCCATCGGGGCCGGGAGCTTTTCCCTTGCCTCCCACTCGTCTCCTGGCCCTGACGAGCTCCTCTGGTCCCACAGACAGGCCCGCCTCCCAGTCTCCCTCCTTCATTTCGGGGGAGGGAATCTTGGGTGGGCGCCCTTCCACTCTCGGGAAGAGGGTGTCGAGGGCCTGGCTGTCCAACGTTTCCGTTGGCGGGGGTGCCCAAGGGCGAATCTTACCCATCGCCCTTTTGTACGGGCGCCCCCACGGATCGTCGTCCAGGGAGCTCGTCAGTTGCTCCCAGGCTGCTCGCTTAGCCTCGGCAATGGCGACTCGGAGGGCCTTCCTGGCCGCCAGGAAGCCCTCCCTCGCCTTCGACATCCCCGCCTCTTCGCCAGGCTCGGTAATAGTACCGTCTGGCCTGGACGGAGGAGTCGCGGAGTTCCGCAATCTCCTCCATCCACCAGTAGGCGACCCGACGGCGGGGGTGGGCTTGGGACATCACAGCGTCGCATGCCGACGCCACGATACCCACTAGTTCCCCAGCCCTCTCCATCGGGCTGAGGGCCCACTCACCCGGCTCTTTCACGAGGTGCCAGGTGGCCACGAGGACGGCCGACTTGAACCTATTCGCGTCCAGTCGACTGAGAGTCCATCTCCTGGGGAGGGGAAAGCCCCCCTCCCCGAGGCAGCGGGTGGCCCGCACCTGTGGAGGTCTGAGGAGGTGGAGGGCCCGCACAATGTATCGATGATCGGACAGTGTTTCACCCTCCACCTCCACTTTCTACTCCCGAAACCGGGCGGCCGAGGGGGTCACCCAGGTCAAATCAATGACCGACTCCCCCCCTCAGCCGCACACAGGTGCTGACCGACCCTTTGTTCATCAGCAAGAGGTCTAACCCCGCTGCCCAATCGATAACCGCTTCGCCCCAGGGATCTCTCTGCCGGGAACTGCAACCCCACCCTTCCAAGTGGGCGTTGAAGTCCCCGGCGATGACGATGGATCGATGGTGGCACCTTCGCACCACCTCCCCGATCCCGTCTAGGCTCTCCATGATACGGGCGAGGTCTCCCAGTCCTTGACTGTTTCTTCGGTGGTGGAGGTAAACCCCCACCACCGTGATGGGCCCACAGTCGACCGCCACGAACGAGGAACCCATCTCCCTGAGTGCGCAGGGAGAAGTTTCCGTCGCCACGGGGTTTGCCACAATGGCTACCGAGCCATCACGACTGCCGAACCAGCTCGCGCTGTTCACCGGCATGAAGTGCGGCTCGGTGGCCACCCCCAGCCCAGCACCCAGCTCCAGGATCCTGTGTAACCATAAGTCCTGAGCTTGAGTGCCGGTGTCGAGGTTGGCCTGCAGGACCCGGAGCGGCGTGAAGACTAAGCCTTCGTCACCTCCTCCGGGCTACCTACTTCCACCCCCTCCTGTGAGACCTCTGTCGGCAAAGCCGCTTCGGTTTCCCCTGAGGGGCTTCGGCCTTGGTATTGGTGGCCTCATTCGCGGGTTCCTCAGTTTGCGCGGAAACATGGGGAGTCCCTACCTTAACGCACCCCTCCCCTCGGGAGTATGGGGGGGGTTCGTGTACCTGGGGAGTCGGGGGTGGCACTCCCTCCGGCTCTCCTTCTAGGGTTGTTGGGGGCTTTCCCTCCGGGTCCACCCTCCTCACCTTGTCCCTCCGTCTGGTGTTGGGTTCCTCGTCCGTGTTCTCCTCCTGCTGGTCCCCTTCTCCCAGGTCGTCAGTTCCCTGCCTCTTCCTTCTCCTCAGGGGTCCTGTCTCCATCGTTTCGTGGGAAGAACTCCAACCATGTTCATCCCTCCATTCCTGCGACATTATGATCGTCGAGACCAGCTCGTCGTCCGCCTGGTCCCTCGCCGATGTCTAGGCTGTCATCCGGCCCCCTCCGCGGGGTCCCTCGTTGCCAAAGGGCACCGGACCCAAGCTGCCCCTAGTCCTCCAGACGATTTCCTAATCTCTCCGATCTGGAGATCGTCTGGAGGACAACCCGATGATTTAAGAATCGCGGTCCGCAACAATATCGGAGTAACGGAGTCCTCCAGGCAGACGATGCGGAGTTCCGCGTTTCTCGTCGGCCTGGAGACCACCGCCTCCCCATGTAGCACATCCTGCAGGTCCCTGGCCGCCTGGCTCGCCTCGCTCCAGCTCAGCATCTGCCAAGATGGCATACGCCGAATGCGGCAGGCGCTGAAGCCATTGTACATCCGGGCGATCAGGTCGTACCGCACGATATCGTACATGGCGGCGACCACCCTGGCCGGGTCCCCTCTCGTGGAGTTCCTCTACGAGGAACGGCGAATCCTCTACTGGAGGATCAAGGAGCTCCGCGAGGAGGGGGTCTTAACGGCTAGGGACTCGCGGGCCTTAAAATCCCAGGCCGTGGCCCGTACCCTGGAGAAGTGGGGGGACATTTTGTCCGACCCACGGGGGTACGGGCGCGAGACGGCTGAGGCTGTCCGTCCCTGCCTGCCGGAGTTGGCCGGCAGGAGGGGATGCGGACTGTCCTACCATCTGGTGCAGGTGCTGACGGGCCATGGGTGCTTTGGCAAGTACCTGCACCAAATTGGGAAGGAGCTCACCACCAGGTGCCACCATTGCCCCGTCCTGATGGACACGGCGCTCAACACCTTGGCTGCATGTCCAGCCTGGAGTGAGGAGCGCCGAGTCCTGGCCGGGGCGATGGAGTGTCCAGTGGGGGACATCTCGCTCCCGCGCATGGTTCAGACCATGTGCGGGAGCGAGGAGGGGTGGGAAGCGGCGGCCTCCTTCTGCAGGGACGTTATGTCCAAGAAGGAGGCCGCCGAGAGGGAGCGCCGACCACGCCAAACCCGTCGTCGCAGAAGGCGATGTGATGGTCGGCGCCCAATGGGAGGGACTTAGGTAGCGGGGCTGAGGAGGCACAGGCTGAGGAAGAGGAAGGACCCCTGAGTAGCAGGGGTCCATGCCTTCCACGGTCGCCTCGGGCCCGCCTCCGTCGGCAAGAGGGATCCGGCTCTTATTCTTCACAGAAGATGGATCCCCCATTGCCGCGGACATGCAGGGATAGGGGGGAGTGGTGCCCCGTTTGGGGACGGGCCCATTCCCCCAGAAACCCTCCCCCCACTAACGGAGAGGGAGGGTAAGGGATGAGGGCGAATACTCCCTCCCCCCATAGGTAAGACCAGAAGGCTAACCGATCGGTCTTAAACCGACCGAGACCGCGCCCTGGATTCCCTTCGCGGAACAGGGCGCGGTAACAGGTGGCGTGGGGCTCCCGAAAGGGATTCCTGGGGCCGGGGTGTCGGGGAGGGAATGCGGGAGCAATTCCCCCGACTCCCCACATTACCGGTCCGACAGGTAGGCATCCCGCAGGGGTTTTAGTCGGTAGGAGTCCGACATAACCCCCGACCCCCCAAGGGTCGGGGATATCCATGATGGATTTCCCCTGCGTCACCAAAAAAGAAAAACTTTGCCCTGACTTTGTTGACACAAGCCAATGTCAAACTGATAAGATCAGTTAATTGATCATTTTAAACCTTACAACTTTTGCCTGAAACATTTTTCCCAAAATCTGATTATTTTCCAGATAATTTATCGTTCGAAGACTTTTTGAGAACCCTGTATATACAGGATCATCGAAAAGTATTGGACCTCCCTAATATCTTCAATTAGAATGCATTTTGGAGAAAACGTCCAGCAGTAAAGTTGTATGGTTTCAAGCGGAGAGTAAAATATTGACGTTGACTTTGACTTCGACCATGTCCTTCAAGGTCATTTCAAGGTCAACCTTATTTCTTTAAATGGAACCCCAATATTTTATTACATATTCTTATAGCCTATCTCGAGAGCTTTCCCAAACATTATAATAAAATATTTTTTCTTTAAGTACTTTTTGAGTTATAAAGATTTGAAGTTAACAATTTGTTAAATGGTGTGTGATTCCGGCCAGTTAAGGCAAGAGTGGTGCGTGATTCCGACCAGTTAAGGCAAGAGTGGTGTGTGATTCTGGCCATTTAAGGCAAATTTCATTCTAATTGGGCAGCTTGGACAAAATATTCAATTGTACCAAACAATTCACAACAAATGTTTAAATTGTTGCCCTTCAACAGCCTGGCAATGTGCCAATCTGTTATGAACAGCTGAAACCGCATTCCGGAACGTTTCCGGCGGTATTAGTTCTATCTCTCGAGTTATTCTCCCTCTTAAATCATCTAAATCTTGAGGCTTGGTGGCATAAACTTTACTTTTCAAGTAACCCCACAAAAAAAAGTCAAGTGGGGTCATGTCCGGAGACCGACGTGATCACTCAATATGACCCCTTCGCCCTATCCACCTGTCCTGAAAGACCTCATTCAAATATTGACGGACAATGACACCATAATGAGGTGGAAGTCTATCCTGTTGGAAATAAATTTCATCCATATTTCCACCAGCTATGTCTCGAATAGCTGGAACAATTTGTTCGCGAAGTATGACTATGTATACTTGTGCTGTCAAATTGCCTTCAATGAAGAAAGAGCCAACTGGTCTACCATTAAGAATAACCATACGTTAACTTTTTGTGGATATTGGGTATGATTGCCTCTTTTCCAGTGAGGACTAACGTCACTCCAGTATCTACAATTGTGTCTATTTACATTTCCAGTCAGTTCAAATGTTGCCTCATCAGAGAAAACAATATTATTAAGTAATAGAGGATCGTGGACAATCATCTCCATCATAAGATCATAAAATTCGATGCGTCTATCAAAATCACCTTCGGACAACTCTTGGACCAAATGCAGTTTGTATGGATGCCATTTATTCAATTTCAGAATTTTACTGACAGATGCATGACCGATTTCGTGTTCTTGTGCAACGCGATTAATGGAAATGGACTTTCAACGAAAGACTGTAAAACATCTAATGCCTTATCATTATTTGTTGCTGTTTTACGTTTTACCAGATCTTGGGAGGCTTTTAACGCTATTAATGTCCTCGAAACGTTGAGTAGTACGGATTACAGTACTTTTGGAGATCCTATTATTTTCATTCCGAAAATTTTCATTAAATAATCGCATTACTGTTTTATACCCTCTTTGTTAATCTCACCATCCTCGCATCATTAACAGTGTTATTCAATCTCTTTCAGAAAGCTCCGCCATTCTTAATTAGAGCAAAGAAGAATTAATCAGGTAAGTGATAGGAAATTGATCTAAATAATTAAGTAGAGAAAAATACTAATTATTAAGTGTTGGTCCAACTATCGATTTGTTTATTTCAACCAGCACTAGCAAAATGCTCGTTGAGCAACTGAAAATCTAATAGATCAATTAATAATATTTACGAAAAAATTCTGGGCTATTGGAAACAAATGAAGATGTTTGGGACAATCAATTGAAGCAGAATGGCTTCTTTTGTTACAGAAACAATTTTTGGGGCTGTTCGTTTTCGTCCACGAGGTGACTGCTGTTCGCTAAGAAGAAGACAGCACTGCATCAAAGATTCAAATCAGTGATCCGCATTATTTGCTCAAGAGCTTGTATTACTATTGGTGCCTGCGAGAATGAGACAATAAAAATCGGCCCCGCCAATCAGTGATCCGTATTATTTGCTCAAGAGCTTGTATTACTATTGGTGCCTGCGAGAATGAGATAATAAAAATCGGCCTCGCCAACGCTTTCGGGCAGATTCCCGCTAACACCTTCGGACATTACGCATTCGAGCAGCTTCTCGCGATCACCTTCGGGCAGTTTTCCGCCATAGCCTAGTAGCATAACCGCTTGAAGCCGTACAACTTTGTTATTGGACATTTTTCCAAAATGCATTCTTACTGAAAATATTAGGGGGAGCCGATACTTTTCGATTAATGTATTTTCTTTAAACCAAATAATTGGTCTCATTATTTCACGCACAAAAGTATTAAGGTTATGATTACTGAAAACTAAATAATATTTCACAAAGTATTTTACATCTTGTGTCAAAAAATTGTTAAAGTCAAGCCTTTATAACTCAAAAAGTACTTAATGAAAAAATATTTTATTATAGTGTTTTGGAAAGCTCTTGAGATATGCTATAAAAATATGTAATAAAATGTTGGGAGTTCCACTAAGAAAATAAGGTTGACCTTGAAATGACCTTGAAGGACATGGTCAAGGTCAAAGTCAAGGTCATCATCCTACTCTCCGCCTCAAACCATACAACTTTGCTATTGAACATTTTCTCCAAAATTCATTCTAACTGAAGATATTAGAAGGTCCAATACTTTTCGATGGCCCAGTATATCTATATCTACAGGGTGTTATAAAAGTCCCGGAAAAGCAGAATAACTCGAGAAATATGAGTCCTAGAAAAATGCGAAGTATTGAGTTTTTATGACTTTTTCCTGGCTATCTGACGGTGACCTTGGATTTGACCTTGACAATGACCTTGAAGGTCATTTCAAGGTCAGGTCAATTTTTTAGATGGGTTTCCATACTTTTGACTCCAGAAATGAAAAGAGCAGAAAATTTTACGTTCGGATGTGACTTTGAACACTGCCAACTTGGACCTCTGAAGGTCACATAAAGGTATATGCTTGTTTTAAGTTAAAAACGCGAATATCTTCGAAAATGCACCTGCTAGGAAGCAATGTTACGCATAAGAATAAGAGTGAAGATCAACGAGAGACATTCAGGCTTGACCTTGCTCTGATTCTCAAGGTCATGAGTTAAGATTATTATTAAGATCAAATCGGACTTTTTTAGGACTGAAAATCCATACTTTTGACCTAAAAATGTTAAGATTGAAAAATTTTACGTTCGGATATGACGTTTTCAACCTTGACCTTGTTCTCAAAATTATGCGTTTTACGTTACTTCACTGATCGTGAAATCTACTGAAAGTAAAGCGTCTCGAAACCCGACCACTGAGGGCAAGGTGTCTCAAACTCGACCACTGAAGGCAAGGTGTCTCAAACCCGACCACTGAAAGCAAAGTTTAGTTAGTCACGGCCACCGAGGGCAAAGCATCTTGTAACTCGGCCTGAGATTACAAGAGATGTTCAAAATGTTCTCCATTGACCGTTTGACAGTGTGTTTGACAGGTCAAGGTTGAAAACGTCATATCCGAACGTAAAATTGTTCAATCTTGACACTTTTAGGTCAAAAGTATAGATTTTAAGTCCTAAAAAGGTCCGGTTTGACCTTAATAATAATCTCAACTAATGACCTTGAGAATAAGGGCAAGGTCACGGCTGAATGTCCCTCGTTGACCTCTACATTCTTATTCTTATGCGTAACATTGCTCCCTAGCAGGTGCATTTTCGAAGATATTCGCGTTTTCAGCCTAAAACAAGCTTAGATCTTCATGTGACCTTCAGAGGTCAAATTTGGCAGTGCTCAAGGTCATATCCGAACGTAAAAATTTCCGCTCTTTCCATTTCTGGTGTCAAAAGTATGGGGTCCCGTTTAAAAAAATTGACTTGACCTTGAAATGACCTTCGAGGTCATTGTCGAAGTCAAATCCAAGGTCACAGTCAAGAAAAAATCATAAAATCCCAGTACTTTGCATTTTTTCTAGGACATATTTTCCGAGTTACTCTGCTCTTCCGGGACTTTTATAATATCCTGTATATATATATATGATATTTTTTCAAAGGCTGAAAAGGGTGTGTCAGTTATGATTATTGGTTGTTTGGTTTTTACGCGAACTAGTTTTTTAATCTGACATTGTAAGCATTGTTCAATATAATTTTGAATTTCAATTTTTAAATTTTCCCAATAAAAATTTTGCTGAACTCTATTATATCTTTTCGTTATATCTTTGTGACCTCCTATCATTGATGAGTAGGCTTCTTCAATTATATTTTTCCGCTTTTCAACATCTGGAACTTTTACTAATCCGTGGCAAATAATTAGTTTTATAGATAATCCAATTAGCGCTTTCTGATTTGATTGAAAATATTTTCCCACTTATAATTATCTAATTGTTATGTTTTTGCGACATTTGATGTTTTAATAAGATCCTTAATTATTGCTTCACGTAGTTTTTCTGATAAATTTCGTAATGTTTCATCTGTAATTTTATCTTCTATATTATTTTTGCAGATAAATATGAAATTTATTTTGTTTCCTCTTTTATTTGTTATTACGGTTCCAAGTTTCGCGTTTTTAATTTGAGGAATTAAATTTTGATTCTTAAGGTCTTTTGCTCCTTGGTTACAAGGTTTACCGTCTGAAGTTAAGAAATATAAATAATTGTCTTTTCTCATAAATATTTTATCGCGGCTGTTTATTATATAATGTTTTTGAGTACGTGTAATTATTTGATGATCGGTTGATTCCTCTGCTTCAGTGTCTAATTCATTAAAAGTTTTGTCAATGTCTTGTTCATTTTCGTCATCACCGTCTTTGCTTTCGTCAATTTCTGATGGGTCTCTATTTTGTTGGGTCTTTTGTTTGCTTTGTGTTGTTTCTTTGTTAAATAAATTTTCCTGTGGAGTTTCTTCTGTTTCATTGTTTTGATATTGCTCCAAATTATCAAGTATTTGTAATAAGTTTTGTGGTATATTTGTTGTTGAGTTTGATAAATTTCGGTTGTTTATGTTATTATCTTGTTCTAATGGTTCGTCTTCAATATCGGAAAGTGAATCTTCTGAAATGTTGGATTTATCTTCATTGTTTGTTTCAATTTGATTGTTTGTGTATAATCTAAAGTATATATCTGCGTGTATTGTATATTTTATAAATGGTGGTTCATTTAGTTTCCTTTTGGTGAATGGTACGTTTTCTCCTTCAGATTGTTCGCTATACTGAGTTTGCATTCTGCTTACCATAGGCTCTGGCTCTTCAATCATTGAGCCTATTCGTGGTGAATTTATCAGTGGTCTCGGATTCGCATTTCTTTGCCTTGATTCTTCGTCAGATGAACATTCTCGTATGTCATCGTTGTATTTCATCGTATGTAGGATTTATGGGATAAACAGGTCTGTGAGGATTCCGGAATAGAGCATCAGCATTTAAATTAACTTCTCTTGGTTTATATATTATTTCATAATCATATTCAGCTAATTTAATACTCCATCTTACTAATCGCGAAGTAGGATCTTTTACCTTATGTGACCAGATCAAAGGTTTATGATCGATTATTAAAGTGAATGTTTTACCATAAAGATAAGGTCAAAAATGTTGTACAGCACATATTATTGCTAATAATTCTTTTTCTATTGTTGAGTAATTTCTTTCGGCATCATTTAAAACTCGTGAAACATAGCTTATTGGACGATCTTTTCCTATTTGACCTTGGCTTAAAACTGCGCCTATTGCTGTTCCTAACGCATCTGTGGGTAGTAAGAAGGGTTTAGGGAAATCAGGATATTGTAATACAGGTTCCTGGCATAGAATATTTTTTAATGTTTCAAAAGAATTTTGTTCTTTTACTCCCCAACTAAATTCAAATTCCTTTTTTAATAAATTCGTTAATGATTTAGCAAATTTGGAAAATCCTTCTATAAATCTGCGATAACATCCGGCAAGACCTAGATTGTTTATATTTTTTACGATTTGTGGAATTGGAAAATTTTTGTCAGCTTCTATTTTTGTTGGATCTGGTCGTACTCCACTTTCTTCAATTATATGACCTAAATAAGTTACTTCTTTTCTTAAAATTTGGCATTTTTTTGGTTGCAATTTTAAATTTGCTTTTCGTAACCCATTAATTATTTTTTCGAATTTTATCGCATGCTCATTTAAAGAACTTGAATATAAAACGATATCGTCTAAATATACGAAAACTTCGTTTCCCTGCATTCCGCTTAATACTAATTAGATGCATTAATCTTTGAAAAGTTGCCGGTGCGTTCCTTAAACCAAAAGGCAACTGATCGAACTCATAATGACCATGTGGAGTCGAAAAAGCAGTTTTATGACTATCATTTGGATGCATGCGTATTTGGTGAAAACCTGAGGCCAGGTCAACCGACCGAAAAATATTTTGCTCCTCCTAATTGATCAAGTATCTCTGTTATGTTTGGAAGAAGATATGTGTCTTGTCTTTTAGCTTACGGAAATCTAACACCATTCTCCAACGTTTATGACCGTCCGTGCCTGCGTTTTTAGGTACTATCCGCATTGGCGTATTATACAGGGTGAAGAAAAAACCCCGGGACCCCTGAAAATTTCGAAAAATATACACTATAAAAAAATGTTTCAGACAAAAGTTGTAGCGTTGAAAAAGATCTATTTATATTTATATATAAACCGATCTTAACAATTGACCTTGGGTGGCGTTATCAAGGTCAGGACAAGGTCACCTCGAATTTTTTAAATGGAACCAATTTTTATTGCATATTCTTATAGCACTGCTGCAGACCTTTTCGAATCACTATGGTTTTATCCAATTTGAATAAGTTCCGAAGTTATCAAGTTTTTTAAAATAAGATATCTAGCCAACTAAGGCAAGATCGGAGGATGATCCGGCCAACTGAGGCAAGTTCGGAGGATGATACAGCCAACTAAGGCAAGATTATAGGATGATCCGGCCAACTAAGGCAAGGTCGGGAGTTGTCAGGCCAACTAAGGCAAGATCGGAGTATGATCCAGCCAACTAAGGCAATATCGTAGGATGATCCGGCCAACTAAGGCAAGATCGTAGTATGATCCGGCCAACTAAGGCAAGATCGTAGGATAATCCGGCCAACTAAAGCAAGATCGGAGGATGATCCAGCCAACTAAGGGAAGATCGGAGGATGATCCGACCAACTAAAGCAAGATCGGAGGATGATCCAGCCAACTAAAGCAAGATCGGAGAACGATCCAACCAACTAAGGCAAGATCGGAGACTGATCCGGCCAACTAAGGCAAAGTCGAAGGATGTCCAGCCAACTAAGGCAAGATCGAAGGATGATCCGGCCAACTAAGACAAGTTCGGGAATTGTCTGACCAACTAAGGCAATACTGGAAAGCTTTAAAGTAATTGTTCAAAATGTCCGTCATCAACAGTTTGACAATAAGCTAATCTATCGTAAAAAGATGAAACGGCTTTTTGAATGTAATCAACAGGGATGAGAGCAGCTTCATCAAGAATTCGATTTCGTAAGTCATCTAAATTTTGTGGTTTCGTTTTGTAAACTCTATCTTTTAAATGGCCCCACAGAAAGTAATCGTTAGGTGATAAATCGGGTGATCGAGGAGGCCATTCGATAGATCTTCTTCTACTTATCCATCGATGAGGAAACACTGTGTCCAGATAATTACGGAAGTCCTTTCCGTAATATGGGGGGGCACCATCTTGTTAGAGTCATGTATACTCGAAGTTGTCATCCATGATTTCTTGTATCGGTGGAACTATTTCGTTTCTTAGCATATTCTCATATTTTATCGCTGTTAGATTTCCGTCAATAAAGAGTGGACCTATGAGAACATTATTCAAAATGCCTACCCAAATATTCACTTTTTGTGGATACTGCGTGTGTGTTTCTTCAATCCAGTGGGGATTTGTATCTGACCAAAATCTACAATTGTGTCGATTAACGTGGCCATTTAACTGAAATGTTGCCTCATCTGAAAATACTACATTTGATAGATAGTTAGGATCTTCGGCTATTTCTCCCATCATCAAATCACAAAATTCAATGCGCCTATCAAAATCATCTTCATTTGGCTCTTGTACAAGATGGATCTTATAAGAATGAAATTTATTCATTTTCAATATTTTAAACACAGACATTTGATCTATTTCATGTTGCTGTCCTACTTTGCGGGTCGAATCATGCGGATTTTCGATAAAGGATTGTAGAACATCTAATGATTTTTATACACTTGTTGCTGATACTGGTCTACCTAGTATTGTACAATTTTTCACATTTCCAGTTTCCTGAAAACGCCTTATCGTTCTTTCAACGATAGATTTTGAAATGGCGTTACCCTGATTACGAAAAGTTTAATTAAAAAGCCGCCTCACATCATTGTACGACCTTAGTCGATCATCCCATCCTCTCATCATCAAAAGAGATATGCGTTCTCGTTCTAAAAGACTTGCCATATTGACAAGCAGAAGTGGTAAGATTTAGTCTAATTGATTAAATTAATATTTGGATCAATTCAAAGTTATTCTAAAGACAGTGCTGAAGAATAATAATGAGCACGGAATGAAATGCAATTAAGTCAGCTTACAACTAGCTTCAAACTGTTTCTTAATAATTTTCAAAAAAATAGGGAATTTCAGTCGAGTTTGCAATTCACTAAACTGTAATGAGTATTAAATGAGTAAATGGAAGAAATAAACATCGAACAGCAGAATAGTTCAAATAAATAAATAACTGAAATAAATCAATCAACGAAATTAAGACAAGCCAATAGGAGCCAACGCCTGGAAGTTAGTCGCGCAATTATTTTTACGAGTTGACTGAATCATCCTCCGACCTTGTCTTAGTTGGCTCGATCACTCCGACCTTGCCTTAGTTGGCCGGGTCATCCTCCGATCCTGCCTTAGTTGGCCGGATCATCCTACGATCTTGCTTTAGTTGGCCGGATCATCCTCCGATCTTTCCTTAGTTGGCTAGATATCTTACTTTAAAAAACTCGATAACTTCGGAACAGCTTATTCAAATTGAATAAAACCATAGTGCTTTGAAAAGGTCTGAAGAAGAGCTATAAGAATATGTAATAAAAAATTGGGGGTTCCATTTAAAAGTCCGAAGTGACTTTGTCCTGACCTTGATGACGCCACCCAAGGTCAAATTGTTAAGATCGGTAAATACATCTTTTTCAACGGTACAACTTTATATTTTTCGAAATTTTCAGGGGTCCCGGGGTTTTTTCTTCACCCTGTATGGTGAATCAGATGGTTTTATAATTTTTTGATCCAAAAGTTCATCTATTTATTTATTTATTTCCTCTTTCTGTATTACTGGGAATCGATATTGTTTTGTATTTATTGGTGCTTCATCTGTTGTTAATATTCGGTGTTGTAAAACATTTGTACATCCTAAATTTTCTCCGGGTAGATGAAAACAATCGGCACCCTTTTCAATTAATCTTTCGACGTGTTCTCGCTCTTCGCTATTTAAATGTTTTAGATTTAGTAATTCAATTATTTTATTCTTTCTAGTGCATGTTGTATATGGTAGCAAAATTTATATTTCCATGAGTTAGGAATTTAGTATTCTTGTGTCTCTGAGATTGAGTTTGATTTTGTATTTGTTTTCATATTTGAGTTTGAATTTGATTCTTGAGTTTGATTATTTTCTGTTTCGAATTCACACATTTTTATTGTTGGTACATATATTTCGTGACCTTCTTCTGTAGTATTTATTGCTCTTAGATATGCTTCCCCGTTTTGAACTGTAACTAGGGCGTTATCTAAATAAATTCCTTTGCTTACAGTTAGTCATGGTACATATCCTTCTTTTAATTCAGGATTAGCAATGTTTATATGAATTTGAGAGATTGATCTTGGAAGAATTATTAAAGTTTCTTTTAGATCTTCTTTGGGTTCAAATGGTATAACAATATCCCATTCTAGACGATTTTCTTGATAATTGACATTGATTTGGAATTGTTTAAAGAAGTCTGATCCTAAGATCTCATCCTGCGGTATTGGAAAGTTATCCTCCACTAAATGAAAAGTGACTAGATATCGTAGGATATCTATCAGTGCTAGCCCTAAGGTGGTCACATGATGTGCTCTAATTTCACTTAATTTCAGAATTTCTCCACTGTTTACCTGGATGTCTCTCTTTAAATGACTTTGTTTGATTATATCTGGGTCTGATCCGCTGTCTACGAGAAACTTTAAGTTTTCATTGAAGTGTGTGTTTGATAATGTGACTGTCGGTACGTCTTCTATGTTTGTTAAGTTTACTGTTCGGACTCGGATATTTCTTCTCTATGAGTTACTCGAGTGGGGCGCATATTTGTTTTTCCCGAAATAGCCCCAGTTTTCTCGGGAATTTGTCGGTTTCCCTGATTGAAGTTATTTATTGGAGCATTGTTATAATTATTATTACTATTGTTATTGAAGGCACGTTTGCGACACTCGTCTATTGAATGACCGAACTTTTTGCAATACCTGCAGGTTATAATCGCATTTTAACTCGAATTTAAAGTTAGAAATTGATTATTATTATAAGAGCTTTTTGCGAGGAATTTGTATTAGGAAGCGGTTTTGGATAGGTCAATGGGGGATAGTAGGAAATCTATTAGATGCATTTTGCGGAATGTTCATCGGTTTATATCAGCTCGGTTCCGGTGCTGCATAATTCTTATATCTATATGGGTCATTGGCTTCAGGGATTTGTTTACACCGATCAACTGTGTGATCTTTCTTATGATAGTATTGACACTAATTCTATAGTTTCTATATGGCGTACTCTGTTGTGCGCTTCTCGGTGGTAGTGTTCTCCGCGAGCACGATCCGTCTCATCATGTTTACGGTTTCGAGTTCCTTTTCTGGATCTATGGCTCGACTCTCAAGCTGTTCGAACGTTCCTTCTTTAGAAATTATTATTTCCTTAGTTAACTCTCGTAAGAAACTAATTTTTAAATGTTCTTCGATTGAATCCCTAAATTCTTCGCTAATTCTTCTTGTTTTTCTTCTCTGTGCATTCAAAATTCTCTTTTCCAATTCCTGAACGCGATTTGCGTATATTGCTACTTTCTCGTCTTTCTTTGACATAAATAAGCTAATCGTCCTTGGGCTTCGTAAATTGTTTCTCTGAGACCATATTTAGCTCTTAGAAATTCTATTAATTTGCGTATATTGTTAAATGTTTGGCCGAGTATTAATCGATGTGCATCTCCTTTTAATTTATTTCTTATTGCTCGTACTAAGATATTTTCTTGTGCTGGTGCAATCATACTTAACGCTTCTTCGCATCCCTCGACAAAATATACGAACGGAATATTTTCTCCGTCATAAGGAGGCACAGCTTCGAGCGCGTCTCTTATTGAGAAATGAGCGAGATTACCTTCTGTCAGAAGTCCTATTCCCTGATTTCCAACTTGTTGTTGTTGCTGCTGTTGCAATTGCTCGATCGCTCTTCGTTGTTCAGTTATGAGCCTCAGTATTTCATTGACATCCATGTTGGTCTGCATGATAGCTTGGTTTTCTCCTCCTC